CTGGCCCCCGCTCCCAGCCTCACTCCCAGAGCGGCTTCGCTGTGGGCCATGCAACTGGTCCCAGAAGCAGGGCCAACAGCCCATTGGCCATGCTCCCAGGGAGCCAGCATGTCACCTGTGGCGGGGGGCCCAGCCACACTGCCTTGCACAGAGGCTGCTTCAGCTGGCCCTGTGGGGCTGGAGCAGCCCTTGGCCCAGGAACTGTTAACTGGAATTGGGAAGTCTCCCCTGTTGAGGGATGAGGCTTACCTGCTAACTACAGGCTGGACCTCCCTGGTCTGGCACCCTCGGGACCTGAGTGGTCCTGAAGAAGGGATTTTGCTAGACCAAGGAAGGTCCTTTCTGCACCCCTCTCACCAGACCTCCCTCCCCAAACCCGGCTCCACTCCTTGCCTGGCCTCTTGGCAGGCTCCCCATGTGTGACCAGTCCCTCTGCCTGCCATGGCAACCCACGGTCCTGCTGCTGGAGCTCTCAGCTTTGCCGCAGCCAACGGGTGCCCTGCTGCTGGTGCTCAGGGCCCTGCCAGCTCGCAGGCCCTGGCCTGAACTCCCACTCCCCCCCACCCCTGCTGGGGTTGTCCACCCAGCCAGCCCCACTGGGGCAGCACCGGTCCCACTGCCAGGGCTCTTAAACCTGCCAGCCTTGTTGCATCAGCTCCATGGTCCTGCCGCCGCAGAGAGCTGCCCCACCAGAGCCTGCTGGCATCCCAGCCATGGGCTCAGCTGGACTCTCGTGGCAGGGCTCCCAGCCACTGGCCTCTCCCCAGCCCCAGAGGGCTCCTGCCTCTGGCCTTTCACCAGGTCTCTCTGGTCCAGCAACATCCATGATCCTGCCAGACGACAGAATGTTACCAGATCAGGGAGTCCCGACGGAGAGTTTCAACTTGTATTTACATCCCTCTTCCTTGCTAGACCCACTAAATTGACCCTTGGGCAATCCATCTCCTCAGCGTTGAACCCCCGGGAAGGGAGACAAGGCCCAAGCCAGGGAGATTTCGCTGGGCCTTGCAGTTGCCACTCGGCAATGGGTGGTGGCTGCAGATGTTGCTCAGTGTGTGAACACCCGTGAGCGCTTTAGGATGGAGGAGTCTGCTCGATATCTTGCTGGCTCATCCTCATTTCCCCTAGCTAAGGCTGCTGAGAATGGAGGGATTTTGTTTCAACTAAACAGTTTAATAAAGCTCTTGCGAAGGGGTCACTGCTCTACACACCACACGCGTTTGAAAGGAAGTGTCGACAGGTATCCAGTGAGGGAACTTATCCCGGTCGACTCAATATTGTGTCAGTCCTTGCTGGAGCTACGTGGGCGTCGAAGGAACAAGGGCAGTCCTTAGCAATTTGTTCCACCTCAGCCACGGCCAGTAAGAGCACCACCCCTCTGCATCCTCATGGGTCTGCTCTGAAGCAGACTGGCCAGCTTTTCACAGCTGGTGGGTAGGCGCTGATGGGGTACGTACGTGCACAGAGCATACATTTTAAGGCCAGAAGGGATCTTCGTGATTTTTAGTCTGATCTCCTCACAGTGCAGGCCACAGACCCTCCCTCAGGAATTGTAGCGAAGCCTCATGTGTGACTGAGTCCGAGCCCCGCTCTTAGAAAGATATCCACTCTTCATTTAATGATGTCAAGTGATGGAGGATAAACCTCTCTTCCAATGGCTAATCCCTCCTCACTATTAAAAATGTACTCTGATCACCAGCTTGAAGCCATCTAGCTTGAGCTTCCAGCCAGCGGATCCTAGGCAGACAGGTCTTCCAGCAGGGCTTCCCTGTGCTGATGGATCCCACCCAAACCCACTTCCATGTGCAACACCCATGATTTGAGTCTGCTGTCCAAGAGCGACTGTTCAGAGTTGGCTCCCGAAGCACCTCCCTTCCTCCCCCACACGATGGTCTCACACTCAAAGAAGAAAGCCAACACCGGCTGTTAAAACATCGATGGGGGCATTTATTACAATACGTTGTTCCAAAGTACAAAAGAAAGGAAAAAGAAAGAGGGTAAAAAAGCACAGCTGTTTACAGCCTCCAGTAATAAATAAAGACAGGGCAAGGGCAGAGCTAGTCTCTCGGTCCTGCCGGGCACCATCTGATTTCAGCACTGATGTAGCAGGCAGAAAGAGATGTGTTTGGTTTTAGTGACTAACTGAGAAGGGACTGGAACACAGTGGGCCGGTTGCAAGATACTGTCTCCTCACCTAGCACTTAGAGTGCATTTCAGGTGCCCGGTCCACTCTGGACCCAGTTTCTCTGCTGAGGGGCGCTGTGTGTTTGCTAAAGAAAGGCTTGGTCCTGTACGGTATTGCACAACTCCTGAGCAACATTGAGGGGAGGGGGGTTAGAGTGCGTGGCCCCTCCCGTGATCAGGCCCCAAATCCACAACATTGCCAGCAGACCTGCCCTGTCACATTTAACCCCCTATCCATCTCTGCCCGTAAATGCACTTGACAGAGGATGAACAGAGCCCAAACTGGATTTCTAGAAGAGCTGGAATGGATTCAACTCATGGATCCTGAGAAAGGGATAACTCCTGAACTGGATTTCTCTGCTCCTCTAGAATGGACTTTGAGTGACAAAATAAATTCAACACAGCACAAGGAAAAGACGACTCCTAATTAGAATAGACCACATTCATGACTGTTCTTGGAAGGGCTCGATTAATCTTCTTGATTTAAAATGACTCCTAACTGAGCTGGCTAGGTAAAGAGGTAATATTTGATACTGTGGCACAGAGTGGAGTCTCTTCTGGCTGCACCGATAGTTTCTTCCAGCTCTCCTTACTACCCAGTTGACTGAGCACTTGCAGACTTCAGGCAGAGTCCTGGCTGTGGGTACAAGAAGCAAGTGCCAAGTTCTGACCACCAAGGCTACTCAGAAATCTGAACACTGCTTAATGCTGGAAAACCAGAGTCAGTTCTGCCACCAATGCATGCACTGATGGGGCTGTTCCCCATCTCCTCTTGCATCCCTGTCATTGTCAGAGACCAGCCTGATCAGATCTCTACCCAAGCCCCTTCTGGGCAGCTTGAAGCTCCATTGCCCTAAAACTGAATATCTGCATTCCCCTGAAAGACTACGTCTACACTGGCACCCTTTTCCGGAAATGCTTAAAACGGAACAGTTTTCCGTTATAAGTATTTCTGGAAAAAGCGCATCTACATTGGCAGGATGCTTTTCCGGAAAAGCACTTTTTCCGGAAAAGCATCCATGGCCAATGTAGACGCGCTTTTCCGGGAAAAAGTCCCGATCGTCATTTTCGCGATCGGGGCTTTTTTGCGGAAAAGACTACTGTGCTGTCTACACTGGCCCTTTTCCAGAACAGTTTTTCCAGAAAAGGACTTTTGCCCGAATGGGAGCAGCATAGTTTTTCCGGAAAAACACTGACAATTTTACAGTAGATCGTCATTGCGTTTCCGGAAAAGCAAGCGGCCAGTGTAGACTGCTGGCAAGTTATTCTGGAAAAGCAACTGCTTTTCCGGAATAAGTGGCCCAGTGTAGACACAGCCAAAATGTTGCTCCTGATATAGAGCTCATCAGGTAGCTGGGAAACTAACTGAACCAAAGAAATCCAAGGCTCGCTTCCCAAAGTATGGTACCACTACAAGACCTCAGTGGCCTTGGGCAGTGGGAAGAATGCTGCCAGATTCACTGGTGATGCCAGGCCACGAAACCATTTCTGGTAAAGAACTCCCTGGACTCAGCTACCAGAGTGGGGGGAGCCCATGACAGGTGCACATTGACTGCTTCCTGGAAACCTGGTCAAGCGTCCTGTAGTTTTAAGCCCAAAGTATGGTACCACTACAAGACCTCAGTGGCCTTGGGCAGTGGGAAGAATGCTGCCAGATTCACTGGTGATGCCAGGCCACGAAACCATTTCTGGTAAAGAACTCCCTGGACTCAGCTACCAGAGTGGGGGGAGCCCATGACAGGTGCACATTGACTGCTTCCTGGAAACCTGGTCAAGCGTCCTGTAGTTTTAAGCTTGGGCAAAGTTGAGTCAGTTCCTCAACCCGTGTGTGACTGGGGGGGAGAGAAAGGCATTGCCCTGGGCTATATTGGGTTCAGAACCTCTGGAGGTTTCACCCTCTCAAATGGGCCTACTGATGTGTGTGCCTCCCCCAGCACAGCTAAAAAGCTAGGCCTGGCACGGTACAGCGCAGCCAGCTCCTGGCTGGTGGGGCAAGCGCAGGGTTGAGGCAGGTGGGGAATGAGGGGTGGTCTGTACTTATTCACCACAGAGAACCAAAGAACAACATACAAAGATTAAGAAAAAAAATACATCATCATAATAATAGCAATAATCATAATCATAATAATAAATACTTAAAATCTATGATTCATAGATCGCAATTACAACACTGATAGCTTATTATGGTTAGTTTAAGAGCAGGGGCAGAGGGAAGGCAGAAGGGGTTTCTTTTGGGTGTAGGCTTCCTAGAGTAGAGACATTACAGGGGTGCATGGCCAGAAAATGAAACAAACACAGAGAGACACAGAGGCTGGGAACACAGCACACGCTAGGAAAACACTCAGTGTTGCCAACTCCTTTCTTCCCAGGATCCCTCTCTGGCCACGCCTCTGAAGCTGTAAAAGGAGGGAGAATTCTGCAGGCTATCAAGGAGTTAGCCAGCTAAGCTTGACTGAGGCTATGTCTACACTACAGAGTTTTTTCGGAAAAACGGCCATTTTTCTGAAAAAACGTCACTTACGTCCACACTGCAATCAAGTTCTTTCGAAAAAAAATTGAAAGAATCGAGGGTTTTTTCCGGCATTGGTAAATCTCTTTCTACGAGGAAGAAGGCTTTTCCTGAATGAGCTCATTCGGAAAAAGGTGTGTGTGGATGGGGAAAAGTGAGTTCTTTCGAAAGAAGAGGAAAGAGGAAGAAACACAGTTGCCTGGTGGCCACTCCATCCATAGTAATCACAGCTTAAATGCAAGATAGCATCCACACTGAATGGACACTATCTTTTGAAAAAGCAGATCACTTTTTCAATGCACTTTGGCAGTGTGGACACCCTCTTTTGGAAGTTTTTCGGAAGATCTCTTCCAGAAATCTTCTTCCGAAAGAAGCCTGCAGTCTAGACGTAGCCTGAGACTGACTCAACTTTGTACTCCTTTAGAAGCTGGGAGGCGGATAAGGGTCATTCTATCGGAGCGTCATTTGGGTACCTTTACAGTCTGCCCTTAAGAAGGATGAACATCTATCAGTTTGCACCTGCACTCCAAGCAATGCAGTTAATGCAGAAAACGATTGGCTATCCAAAGCAGCAGGGCACAAATCAGATGCTTTACACATTCATCCAATTGTGCAACGAAGGGACTCATTTACTCTGCTGACGTACAATTCTGTTTCAACTTAAGTCAATGGGACAAATCCTGATCACTCTTTCACTGATGTAAATCAGTAATAACTCCACTAAATACGTTACAGCACTGTGAACCAGCCCTAAGTGGGATCAAAATCAGGCCCAGAATCAGAGCTTCTGGTGGATAAGAGTTCATTAAAGAAATGTGGTAAGGGACAGGGACAGATAAAATCCTCCAAGGTAACTAACCTGTTCCTTCTTACAAAGAGACTGAAAAGATCTAGGAAGCCATGTAGGGCTTGATCCAAAGCCCAATAAAGACAATGGGAAGACTCCTACTGAGTCCAAAGGCTTTGGATCAGCCCTACCACTCATGGCTAATGCCCTTATAGGGCATTTTCTAGTGTTTTGACCAAGCTAGCCTTAAAATCCTCAAGTGAGGGGGCTACCAACCCTCTCACAAGGATCATCACAAAGGGCAGGGCAAATGCGAGGGTCTTCATACCACTGATGAGCTGGGTAATGAACAACCCATAGCTCTCAAAACCTGAGTGTGACAGGCTTTTCTTTGGCTTGGTTGCAGAATGGACTGCACAGTCGGTGTCACGTCAGTGTGTGCACATGCAGAGCGGCTGAAGGGCATTGCTGACAGTCTAGGATTCATTGTGAGAGACTAGACAATAACCTTCCCCCTCCCCCCAAAAATGAGACTCCCATTTTTGCAGGTACTGCAATAGCTGTTTCTCTAAAACACCACAAGGTGGCAGCTGCTACTATTTCTGAGCGGGCAGCAGCTCATTGTAATCCTTCTTCACTGACCTGCCTTGTTGTTCGTATTTATAGGGGTTGAGCTTACTTTGCAGTGCCAGGCTGAGGATGGCCTCAATCTGGCCAGCTGCATGCTCTGCAGTGACCTTCTGCAGGCCTCAAGGGATGAGCCCCAATTAGGCTGTGTCAATACTAGGTTTTTATCCTCTCAGTTTCCTACTATTGCAGCTCTAAGGGTGGTATTAGATAGGGATGTAAAATCCTGTTTGTTTAGTCAACTGGTTAAACGAGAGGTTTCACCGGTTAACAGGGATCCCGCAGGCAGGTAGCTGTTCCAGCCCAGCTGGAACAGTCCCCAAACTCAAAGGCTGCTGGCTCCCCACCCTGTGGCGCTGTTAGTTCCCGGCTCTGCTGGTCCTGCAGGACTGCTGGCCCCATGAGGCTAACAGCTCCGCAGGCCCTGGCCCATGGCACCATGGGCCTGGTGGCACTGGAGCTGCCCTCTGCCAACTGTGAGCCACAGGCAGGGGGCTGTTCCTGGGCACCAGTTAACCAGTTACCGGTAAGTATCACCCAGTGAGTGCGATGCTTACCAGGTAACCTGTTACCTGTTTGCATCCCTAGTATTAGAGGTGGCAATGTAGAGCAGGATCCTGAGTACCACTGTGTCATCCAAGCCCATTAGCATCTTGAGGCCCGAGCAGTAAAAATGCCAGTGCCTTGTCCACACTAGCTACCATTGAGAGGGCTGGACCAAACGTAAGAGTGCAGGGAAGAGCCACTGCAACGGGCCAAGGGAAATCTTAATTTTTCTCTACCACTGAGGGTTAAAAGAAGGGGAGACAGCAACTCGAGGCTGAGCTGGTGCTGGCAGCTATGGAATGCCACCTGTGGAGGAAGGAAAATGCCCCTCTCCCCGGATCTCTGCTAGCCTCTGTCTTGTGTCTTGGGGATGCTGTTGCAACCGTTGTGGCTCACTCTTCTCCCAGGCCTCACTCAATAATACACGAAAAGGAGTGGGGGAGTTGCCAGGAGGCACCCTCATTAGCTCCTTTCTCTGCACTGCAGTGCAGCTGGATCACATATCATGGAGGGGAAGCCATCATAAACTTCACAGCTGATGAGGTCTCCCTACTAAGTAGGGTTCTGGTGCACCTGGATCCTACATAAATAGATGCCTGTGTGACTTGGAAGAACAAGAGAGAGTCATTCACTGTAGCTCAACAGCTGGGTGACTCTTTGCCTTGTAATAAGCCACGTAGCCTTTTGGGATGCTGATACTGTTGAAATGGTCTAAGAAGCTGTGTTCTCTATGGGACACTTCTGCACAGCCTGGGTTTTGGGTCAGGTGAATGGCAACAAAGATACAAACGGGGATTCTCCATTTGTAGGGCATGATCTGGGACTAGGCTTATGGAACATAGGAAAGAGTTGACCGTGGAAACACTATCCTACTGGCATATTTCACAGGGTAACTGTTCCTTTCTCCGGCTCATCAGCCAATTGACCAGGCTTGGCTGAGAAGCTTCAAATGACAACAAAATATCTGTTGAAATTTAAAAAGGGGAAAAAAATGTGTTCTCTTTTTTGGCACCAGCTCTAGGGCTGGCTGGAATTTTTCATATGTCACTGGAAATGCAGCAAAGGCTGTGAGAAAAGACTGCCAGCCAAGAAGGGCTAAAGCAAGAGAGAGCTCATATTGCAGCCAGTGGTTAGGGGGCCTCAATGGTTAAAAGCTAAGAGGCAAAAGCTCAAGCCCTTTGAAGGTTCTCTTTGTTGTAACCTTCCCAGTCCCATCTAGCTGGGATGCTATGTAATATACAAGTTCCCTTAGAAGCATCTCCTCCCCACACACTCTATTGTCTGGATGGGGATGCAAAAAAGAGGAAGGGTTCCTTCTGCTCCCTAAACCCTAGTTGTTGGCAACACTGATGCTCATTGGAAATATGGATGCTGTGTTTTTAAAAGGGGGTTGAAATGAGTCTCTACCCCCCCTTTCACAGCAGCTGTAGGGAAGAGAGGGATAGGATAGGCAGAGGGCTTCAACCATCATCAACACTTGTATTTTATTAACACTCTAACAAGGAAAATCAAATGCATTTAATCATCCAACTTTCCCCTGCCCCACCATGAACTCCAGCACATTTTGGGGTACCAGAAGGGATTATTTGAGGTTTCCATGCTTCTCACTTAACGCCTTTTAAAAAAAAAAATCCAAGATGACTAATGCCAGTCATTAACCTCCTTGGAGATTCCCCTTTCCCATCTGCGTAGGACACGCGCACATCGGCAGAGCTAGACAATGGTCATAAGGAGAGTGACAATCTGATGCCACCCAGAACATTATTATTGCAGTGTCTTACGGCTTCGGTTTGTGGCTAAGTTTTAAACCTGAGATCATTATTTTTGTCTTGTGTAGTTTGATTTTGAAAGAAGCGCACACAGCAAGGAAAAAAACACACACCAACGAAAAACGAAGGGAAGGAGGAAAGAAAAGAGCTGGGAGGGTCTAATATTCACACGCAACACCACACACACACGAACAAAAACCCCTGAGGTATTGGCTTGGAAACCAGCACGATACTAAAAGGAGGAAAGCAAAGTCAGCTACAGAGAGCAAAAATGTGCTTTGCAGCAGAGACAGATCTGTGCCCATAACACCAAGCAGCGGCTCAGCAGCAAGGTGTAAGAATGCCACTGCCTGGGCGAGACACGGGTTTTTGGGGTGAGGGCTTTGCTCTCCTTGAAAGCAGGGACTTTCATAAAGGGGAGAAGCAGCCAAAAGTGTCTGAGAAACAGCACAGAAGCCACTCATGCTCCTTTGTCGTTTTTTCTCCTGACCGCGCTTGCTATAGAAGCGTTCTGCACTGCACGTTATAGAAGCGTTCTGCACTGTTTGCTCATTGGCCTGCTTGAGACCTCTCTCTTGCACCCTGGGCTTCAGTAACAGCAGGATCCGGCCCTTCCTCAACAACCTTCCTTTTTTCTGTGTTAGCTTAGAGGTCCCACCTGGGCCCTTGGCCACCTCTCAAAAAAATCATTCAATGGAAGAATCCCACGCAGGCGACCTTCCTTAGGAAATCCTCACTCTGTGCCCACCCAAACTCCCAGAGGGAGGGGGGTTTTTGGCAGACATTCCTTTGGAGGCTAACACCTGCCTTCTTGCTGCATCAGAGCAAGCCATCATTTGCTTCAGATGCAAAAGTCAATTAACAGGAGCTCTCAGAAGCAAAATCCCAGGACAAGTAAAACAGTGAAACCAATCTTCATAGCAACACACCTGAGTGTGGAAGGGTGCCGCTTTTGGGGGAGGAGGGAGGGAGATGGAGATAGGAGACTAGGGTGGAGTAAGGAGGAAGGGGTGTGTCCTCACATTAACATCCCAAAAATTGGGCTTTGGTTCATAGTTTTTCAATGTATTTCCTCTCATGCTTTTCCTTCCTTAAGTGCATTGTCCTATTTCCCCTGGACACTATCGCTCCCACCTCCTCCCCTGAGGCACCCTGAGCTAGTGAGCAAGGCAGTTTCTGATGGGAATTCACTTGCCACAGAACCTCTTAAGCATTATCTAGGGAGTAATTTTTTCTCAGAAAGGACCCAGTAACCCCCATCTTGGTCAGTACAACCCAGTATGAGTTGCTGCCCCTTCAATGAAAAGCCTCCTATCTTCCCTCATTCTCCACATCCCAGGCATCCCCTGATCCTTGCCTCTTTTTTTTTTTTTTCATAGTCTCCCTCTCCTCCCTGGTTTTCCCACACCTGGGCGAGGAGGAAATTCTATGGCTTTCTTGGAGACAAAAGAGAATCAAACAGGAATCAAAAGGTAAAGCAGCAGCTTTCAGGAGAGTTCCCTGCTCAGTTTGTGTTGAAAGAAGATTTTTTTTTGTTTTGTTTTGATTTGATTTAAAAAAGTGCATGAAAGATGTTCCTGCCTGGTTTTTGCTTTGTGCACAGGAAACAGGGAGTCTGTGTCGCCGACGTACACGACAGAAGGAGTCACAGGCCGCGGATATTGCTTAGAAACTCGTGTTTCAGATTTAAATACCATAGACAGTAAAAATAGAGCTGAAAGTACCGCCCCACAATGTCTGCAAATCATTGCCAGAATGAACAGCTTCAATAAATTAAAAACAAAACCATTGAAATATTATTTACGTCTCAATAAAAATCGCAGTAAAACCATTTACCTTTTTCTTTGTGTGGTTTTTTTATATTATATATAATATATATTTATATATGTATAGGGCTGCTGTAGTGCAGCATTATTAAGATACTTAGCCAGAAAAACACAGGCAGAGCATGTTTAGTGCACAGAGATGAGGAAAAGGATTAAGGGGAGGAGCTATGCAAATGTACCGCCCACTGACCCTTGGGAGGGAGCCACCTAGATTCTGTCCTTCACCCAATAGAGAGAGCTGGGGTGAACCATTACCCAATGGTCAGGATAACGTTCTCACCTAAACAAACATGCCTCTACTTTTTAACTGCAAGTCTGCAGATAAATTATTAACTCCCCCCCACCCCCAACGTCCCTTCGGAATTTTAAGCTTGGAATGAGAGATGGGGTGCTCAGAGGTGATGAGCTTCTCCCACTTCAGTCAATGACCAACTCTCCCATCCTCCCCATGAGTCGCTTGCTGCCCAGCGGCACAGAATCCAGGGGTGAAAGGGTTAATAGGCTCCTCCCTCCCAAGAGGGAATGCAGCCAGGTTGGGAGCTGGTTGGGGGGGAAGGAAACAGAGATCAAGGGGAAGGGGCATTAAACATGCGCCGTCATGTTTCCTGACTTTGGATTCATTCTTCTTTGCTTTGTTTCGGTGTGTGCACCCCTGGGAACACACACACAGGTATAAATACTGTCCCCTCCCACCCCGCCCCGCGCCTCTTCCCATTTAAATATCCACCCCTCACTTGCCAATGCCCCAAGATGAATGTCAGGACACCTCAATGATTTCCATGCTGCCCGAAAAGCTAGACTGTTTCCCTATTTTGCCCAGGTCTTCCCTGGACCTGCCCTCTGACATGGTTTCCTCGAACTCCATCTGGCAGCTCCTCCTCTTGAACTGCTTCTCCGCAGTGGCATCCTCATGCCAGCTGTGCCGCCCGTCCCTCTGCTCTGCCCTCTGCTTGTCCCGCAATCTGATCTCACAGCTGCCCTGGAGGGTGCTGCAGCTGAATGAGGAGTACGAGGCAGTGCTGGTAAACAGAGCCCCGCCCCCTCCGCCACTGCCCACAGCAGAGTCTGTGCTGAAGTACCAGGGGTTCTCCGACGACGGGGTGCTGGGCGATTCCAAATGCACACTCCAGGTGCCTACCCCTCCTCCACCAGCGGAGTTTGGCGGTGCAGCTGGCTGTGTGGGCTGCTGTCCCGTGCCAGGGAGGCTCAGCCTCAGTGTCTGCTTGAGATTGTCCTCCACGCTGGTGCTTTTGTGCACGGAACACACCCCGCTGAAATTGAGGCTCATCCCATGGGCAGGGGATCCCGCCTGGTGTCTGTGTTTCCGCCTCTGCCGCACCTTGGCCTCCAGCAGGAAGTCTGGCCCACTGGGCCAGTCGGGGCTGTCCGGCCCAGGCGAGACCTGGCACAAGCCATTAGGTCCAGAAGGACTGTCCAGCTTGCAAAGCTTGGGGGCTTCCCCAATGTCCATGGGGCCTGGGATGTCCTGCCTCAGGCCCGGGGAATAGGCTGATTTGATGTCCAGGGAAAAGGAACGCTTTAGCCGGTTGGTGTCTTGGATGCGCTCCGAGGACAGGTGCAGGCCGTTGAGTCCTTGCTGTAGTGCTGTGGGCGAGACAATTTTGGGAATGCCTGCTGGCCTCTCAGGTTCACTGTGGGAAGGTGTTGAGCTTGTGCTTTTCGATACGTCCTCTTCTGAGGTAGACAGCGTCAGATGCCTGTTGCTCTCTGGCACCTCGGCCGGGTCTGGCTGGGCGTCCCCCTCACTCCTGTCACCTTGGGCTTTCAAGGCCTTGAGGAGCTTCAGGCTCCTCTCGTACTCCAGGAGCTGGCCCAGGAAGTTGAAGTTGGGTGATATGGATGGGCGCCGGTCTTTGACAAACCTGCAAGGATAGGAAGACAGCTGGGATTGTCACTTGGACTTTGGCCTGCCAGCCAGGCTACCTCAGCTCTGCAGGCTTCCTCTGCGGGAGAAACTAGAGCACTCTACCAGAAGCTTGGAAAGCAAAAAGATGATGGGAGTGCCTGAGGTCAATTTGCAGAGAAAGCCAGGTCTGCTTCAGCTCACCTCACTCTACTTTCCCCTGGGCAGCCCCCATAGCATGGCATCAGTCGTGATATTCCAACATGGCTCCTGAAGGGCTGCTAGGCCAGGCTGTGCCAGACTGCAACCTGGTGAAGTGTTTTGCTTGTAGAAGCTGAGCCTTTGCTTTGCACGGGGACTGATCTGTGGTCGGGCACAAAGCACATACCCCACCTGGTAGCCTAGCAGTGTGCACGCCGCTAGCACTCAGGAGATTCATGCAAGACAATGCCTCAAAACCCTTTCTGATAGCTTCACTCCACCAGCCTACTTCCCTTTCCTAGGGGCACATTCACGGACATCCTCATTCCCCTCACCTGGCAGGCACCTACCTGTATGCGTCATCTGAAGACATGCCCATGGTTTTCATGATGTAGGCGATGGCAATGGTGGCGGAGCGGGAGATCCCTGCCAAGCAGTGCACAATCACTTGGCAGCTGGATACCTTGGCCTTGTCTGCAGCATGGTACAGAAAAAAAACAATTTTCAGAGGGGAGCCCCTAGCAGTTTGGACAGAGACACTTCAGCCTCTGTCCCTGTGGAGCATCTTTGTGAGGCAGTATGTTGAGTGGCCGGGCAGAGGCCTGGGAGTCAGGACTCCTGGGGTTCTCCTCCAGACTTTGCCAGTGACTCATTATATGACCTTGGGCTAGTCCCTTTGCCTCTCTGTGCCCATTTCCCTGTGTGCCACCTGGATTTAGAGATACTGGTCTTTGTTCTCTCTGAGACTCTCAGATAAAAGGCCATCTTACAGGTGTGCAAAGCATTCCGTTTTACAGAACTAGCTGGCTGTGGCAAAGCCTAAAGGTCCCACTTCCAAATGACTCGGGTGCAGGTCGAGGTGCCAGGTTTCCTAGGGGAGTACAGGCCTCTCCTTGTGGCTGACTGTGCCCTGTCACTGGAGGCAAAGGGACAAGGGCTCTCTGGGCTAAGAGATGACGTGGGGGAAGAAAACCCTGGGTTTGGATGGCTGGGATGGGCAGGGAGTGAAGAGTCCAGCTCTCAGGGTCTGAGGCCACAACAACATCATCAAAACTGGAGCTGTCAGAAGTAACCGAAGGCCCCGATAGCTGGGGAAATGCTCACCGATGAACTCAATGGACTTGTCCAGCCAGGGCAGCAGCTTCTCGCAATAGTTGTCATTGACAGGAATGCGCATGAAGTGGCTGTCACAGATGAAGTCTGGCTTGGGGCAGGAGTTGCTGGCATTGAGAACGTAGCTGATCCCATTCTGAGTCATCAGGTCCTGGAGACAGAGAAGATACAAGCAACACGGGCTCGGTCAGTACAACGTCGGACCTTCCCATCTACCCTCTCACTGGCCTCGCACATGCCAGAGTCCTCTCCTTGCAGCTCCCCACCATTGTTCTGGAGTGGCTCACTGCAGCAACATGAGGCGTGCTACTGACGAGAAGCCACCGAGTAAACCACAGTGTCACATGGACCTGCTCTGAGCAGAGCTAAGCTGCCTGGAGCCTCTCTCCCTTTGTTGCTCCTGCACTGTGCTAGAACATGAAGGTCTCACATTTGGGGTCCTGATCAGGTGTTGGGGGTGCTGCTGACCACTTTACTTTTCCCATACTGGTGAAGAGAAGTGAGCCCTGGCTAGATGGCAGGGAGTGCGCTAGGGGGTCCCAACAGGAGAAAGACTGAGGACCCCAGAGCTAGGACCATTGTAGGAAGTTTTAAGGAGAGAACATTCCTGGAGAGCTACTTCAAAATTCCTTAATCCAAAGGGTTCACTCCAGAGCCATGATAACATTCATCCAGACAGGAAATCACATGACCTCAGTGTGTCCCAGGCAAAGCAGTTCACGATCTGAATTGCAAGTCTCCTGTACTGGAAATGATACCAGCAGAGAACAGTTTACAAATCTCTTAGGGTATGTCTACACTACCACCCTAGTTCGAACTAGGGTGGTAGTGTAGACATACCCTAAGAGATTTGTAAACTGTTCTCTGCTGGTATCATTTCCAGTACAGGAGACTTGCAATTCAGATCGTGAACTGCTTTGCCTGGGACACACTGAGGTCATGTGATTTCCTGTCTGGATGAATGTTATCATGGCTCTGGAGTGAACCCTTTGGATTAAGGAATTTTGAAGTAGCTCTCCAGGAATGTTCTGCCACAGTCATTACTAGTCACCATTTCTTCCCACCCCCCCTGCCAGTAATCAGTCTTACTTGCATGGTTAGGGCAAGTGAATAAAAAGGGGCGCTCATGCAGTCAGAGGGGTAGTTCAGAAGGCCAAGTGAGCATTCATGGATTACTGCTTGCCATGATCTGCTCACTGGGCACATACAGGTGACCTCTCACCTGTCCCAGAGACAAGGCTAGATTCACCAGTGGGCACTTCCAAAGCAGCAAAAAACAGCCAGAGCGTAGTGCTGAACATGACCCATTGTTCCCCCTGAGGACTGAAATCCAAGCCAGATTCTATCCAAAACAAGGGAGATCATCCATACCCAAGAGCCAATAGCTGTAGTCCTGCGAACGCCTGTTCTGTGCTATTTTAGGGCAAGGAGGAGCAACACAGATTTGAATGGAAGAGAGGAGTTGAAGAAGATATCCAGCTGCCATAAAACAGGCAGTGATTAGGGAAATGAAGAGAGAAAAGAAACCTCCCTACTCTAGGCTTAGCCCAGTAGCAGGGCAGCAGTGAGATGCAGAGCTAGGGTTTATGTTGTAGGGTGATCATTCGTCCCCTTTTGGCCAGGACAGTCCATTTTTTAAGCCCTGTCCTGGCTATCCCAAAAGGAGGGATTTGTCCCATTTGGTCTTGCTGACTTGATCAGCTGGCAAGAGCAAACAGGATGTCCACTTTTGTCCAAAAAGCAGAGTGCAGTGTAGAGCCGACAAGCAGAGAGGGTGGTAGGCAGGGCTGGAGGGGGATGGGAAGAGAATTCCAGCAACCAGGCAACAGTCTGGCATGGAGGGGGCAGGGTTCCAGCGACCGGCAACAGCCCGGGTAGGGCCATTGGGCAAGTCGCTGGGAGAACCCCCATTCAATGTTCCCTCTAATCTTTTCCATCCATGTGTGGGATGATTTTTATGTGCACTGAGGCATGTGCGAATGTGCACCACCAGCATAAACAAAGGCTAGTTGTGGGTGTTCTGCTAGTCAGCTGGGTGGCATGTGAATCTCTCCTTAGCAGCTGCACGAGTGCACAGCTTACAGGGAACACTGGCCCCATTTTCGCTTTGGGAAATATCTTCACTTTACGTTTGCGCGCTCACAAGGGACTCTGCTATCCCATCTCAGAGGGATGTTCCCTGCCAGCCCTGCTCTCTAATGCTAGAGGGAGCGATGCTTGTCCTCAGTAATCATCACCCCAGCGCAGAGAGGGAAGCAAAAACCTCTTGGAAGGAAGGGGTGAGCAAAAGGCCGTGTTGAGAGGGGCTGAGGGGAAGACCAGTCAGTCTGACGCCTGATGTAGGGCTCTCAGGGGACACGGCCGAGGTTTCCTCCTTGAATTCCATTTAATCCACCCCGTGGCTCCTGTCCTAACTAAGCTTACATAAGAGTCTCTCCCTCAGCAGGCTCTCTAGAAGCCTAACCTCAGCTCCTAGGAGCCAGCCCAGCTCCAGAGCTCACATTCTTGGCATTTTTCTCTTTAATTTCCTTCTACTCCCTTTATATAAATGTATCTCCTCTCTTTCTGGTCCACCCCCATAATCCTATCAGATGCTTCTCCCCTGGCCCTTTCCTGAGGCAAGAACGTCTGACTGGCTCCCTCCTGTCCACCATAGGCGCCCGGCGGAATTTTAACTACAATTTCTGTTTCTTCTCTCATTTATTTTTTTTCTCTCATAAAACAAAATTCCTTCCCCGAGGTGACATCACTGCCCAAGAATTCTGGCACCTTTAAAAGGACAGTGCCCCTCTTTTCCCTCCACCCCTTCTGTTCCCAAAGCAAATCTTTGTCTAGTTCCTGGCCTCTTTAAAGAGTACTTTGCCTTGGTCTGTGGCTGCTGGCCCCCTCCCTACTCACCCCCATGATTAAACATCCCAGCTTAACCCCACTCCCTCTGGCTCCCAGGCTGGGCAGGCAGCAGCTGAAGTCAGCAGCCCAGCTGGCAGGAGGGATTAGTAGGGAAGAAGTTGGTGCTCTCAAAGTCAATCTCGCAGGTCCTCCCTTGGGGCTAGGCACCCTAGGAGTTCTTCTCCTTCTTCCCCCTTTCTCAGCTCCATTATGCCCCCCCTCGCTCTTCCCACTGCTCCTCTCTGCTTTTCCAGCTCCTTGCCCCTTCCTGGCTTGGACACCACTCACCAAGCCCAAAAAGTTTGGTCTTTTCTATGGGCATTTTCTTGGCCATGTTCCCTCACAGGACCACAAAGAAAAAACTGTTTCTTGCCATTTCAACCAGAAAGGACATTGTCTCAACGACTTAATTACCTGCATCCTGCTTCAAAAGCCTTTTCAGACTGCACTTGAAAGAGAATCCTCTGAACTGTTATTCATGCTTAAATTCGACACTTTACACTTGGGTATGAATAAGGAATCTAATTACCTTACCCACTACAAAGATAGCTTCCCCAATTATCACCTCTGATGTCATTAGCTCACAGACATTTACCTCCCCCCCCCCCATTCCCCTTCTGTTCTGAAATTTGATTTGTCCTTTTCATGTGTGTTCATTTTTGTAATTGTATCCTTTGGTATATATGGTTGTGACAATTTTCTTCCACTATTTGATCTGAGGAAGTGGGTTTGGCCCACGAAAACTCATCACCTAATAAACCATCTTGTTAGTCTTTAAAGTGCTACATAGTCCTGTATTTTGTTTCAGCTACACCAGACTAACACGGCTACATTTCTATCACTCTTCTGCCACCTGTGAGCATGACACTCAGGGGAACCAGGCAACTCCCTTCAGGTTGTGGATGGAAGGCTGGTCCTTCCTCACATCCCATCAGCACTGAACCAAAACGCAGTAGGACATCATTGCCCCTTCTAGCCCAGAACTCTGCAAGGCTACCCCGTGGATTTTCTTCCCAGCACCCCCTTACATCCCAGGCCTCTGTACTACAGGCCATGATCTTAGTCCTTATTCAGGCCACACTGGGCAGGACAATCCATTGGAAGTTATACAAGCACTGTCCTTAAATGGGAAATAATACAACTCGCTTCCCCCATGTGCCGCGCCAATGGGCTAGGCCAACTCCAGTTGATAAAGGGCAATGGCAATATGGGGCAGGCATGTCTCCCCCCCACCAAAGCTGTACCTTGTTTAGGACATCTTTCTGGGAGCCCAGGTAGAGATGAGGAAGGATGCGGGTGGGGCCCACATTGGCCACTGGTAAGCATGGCTGGGAGATGCTCATTGGCAAGATGGCCGCTGGTTTCCCTTCGCAGAGTCCTGGGAAGCAAGACGAGAAGGTGGCAAAGCCGCCTGCAGAGAGAAGGAGGAAATTTAGACTAAATTTTCCACGAAACAGAAGGTCTCTCACTGTGGGTCTGTAAAGTGCCTAGAGCAAGGGGGCCCTGATCCTGGTTAGGGCTTCTTGGTGCAAGGGAAGATCAAAAGATACCAACAGTCAATTATAATCAAGCCAGCCCCACGTGAGACCTGTATGATGTGTGGTGCCCCACTATTTCCAACTTGAGTTAATACGGTCCCCTCGTGTAGTCACAGTGGGGTATGCTGCTCTTCACAGATCTACCTAATGCATTGATCACACCCTGTTTTTGTTTGCAAGCTGGACAGGTCTGTGATAGTCTGCTGGTGTTTAACTGAGTGTAGACAACCAAGCAGTTTAGCGATGGGCATCAGTGTAATGTGCAGATTAAAAAAATATATACTGAAAATGCAAGGAGATTTGGGAGAAGCAGAACTAAATAACGTATAGAATTTGTCCAGGACCCCCAGGCTAATCCTCTTGCTCGTATAAATAATTCCACAGGATTTTTAGTGGCTACAAATGGTCAGCAGCAGGATTTTTAGATCAGATCGAAACAACAGCAAGGACAGCAGCACAGTGGTTTGCTGGCACTGGACTGGACAATGGCTCAAGAGAAGGCGGCCAGCACACAGCCACTGCTCTCTGCAGTCCTTCAGTATTCTGTGGAGGTCTTCAGTGCAATCACTCTGCCCCCGCTGCACTTGCGGTTTCTGACGGGATCACAGCACACAAAGCTGCAGGTCTTTGTACTTGAGGCAGGATCAGCATCAGAGTCACGCAGAGTTTTAAGCAGCATTACCCACCCCGCCCCACCCCGCCCCATATACGCGGTCGTCACTCCTGTCTCTTCCCCAAACGAACGCCTGCCTGGTTATGCAGCCGTGGGTACAGCGCTCAAATGAGTCCGCATGCAGAGGAGGGAGATGGGCGGCTGGGCTGCAGAAAGTATTTGGACAGAGAGGGTGGAATCTGATTTCTTTTGAACAGATTCCTGAGCTGTTTTTCAGGGTCAGGTGCTGCTGAACGTGATCACTGGTAGTGCCCGACGGACAGCCCCAGCCTGGCTGCAGCCCTGTTCATGTCGGTTTTGCTCAGGCGGCCTCACACACCAGACTCAGAGGAACAGCAATGGGGTGGCAGAAGCAGATAGACGATGACAAGTGAAGCCAGAGTTCTGAGACTTCAGAGCAGCTCTTCAGTCTGAGAATTACCACCACACTCATGCTGCAGGGATGGAGAAACAGGGCGGAGAATCTGGTTGCGCTTTCCAGCCAGGGTTCTCCAAGACTAATATGAACCTATACAAAGTCTCACATCTCTGCATCATTAGGTAACAGCAACCGTGCATTCTGCAGAGGCAGGACTAGGTACTTGGGTTGCCTGCCTCCACACATCTGCTAGCCATGGCATAACCAAAGGCAAGCTTGACCAAGAGAAGCACACAACACAGTTCCTCCTTGCACCGCTTGTTATATAGGCAAGAGACCCACATCCTCAAGGGAGTTTCCGAACACGCACTGACTCCTTTCTCCACACATGGAGTTAGGCCTAGCAAATATGATTCTAGGTTGTATCAACAGGTGTGTTGTAAGCAAAACTCGTGAAGTCATTCTGCCGCTCTACTCTGCGCTAGTTAGGCCTCAGCTGGAGTACTGTGTCCAGTTCTGGGCGCCACATTTCAAGAAAGATGTGGAGAAATTGGAAAGGGTACAGAGAAGAGCGACAAGAATGATTAAAGGTTTAGAGAACATGACCTATGAAGCCAGGCTTCATGAACTGGGCTTGTTTAGTTTGGAAAAAAGAAGATTAAGGGGGGACATGATAGTGGTTTTCAAATATCTAAAAGGGTGTCACAAGGAGGAAGGAGAAAATTTGTTCCTCTTGGTTTCTGAGGACAGGACAAGGAGTAATGGGCTTAAAGTGCAGCAGGGGAGGTTTAGATTGGACATTAGGAAAAAATTCCTAACTGTCAGGGTGGTCAAATATTGGAATAAATTGCCAAGGGAGGTGGTGGAATCTCCCTCTCTGGAGATATTTAAGAATAGGTTAGATAGACATCTGTCAGGGATGGTGTAGACAGAGCTTGGTCCTGCCTTGAGGGCGGGGGGCTGGACTCGATGACCTCTCGAGGTCCCTTCCAGTCCTATTATTCTATGATTCTATGATTATTCTATGAAACCTTAGCAAACTACACCTGGTCTAGGTTACCAAGCCCAGTGCTGTTGTCAATACGAAGGCCCCCAAGGGATGTAAGTCCCTGCTCTGAGCTTTCAACAGTTGGGATCGCAGATAGATGAACACAGACTGGGAGTTCCACAGAGGCCGAACAACGTTCCTGACTCCCACGGACATTCATACAGATCTGGCTGTCTATATCCATGAGGTACCAGCCATTGTTTCCACAGGGACTTGTTCTGTGTCTATAAAGACGGATTCAGTTAAAATAACGATCCCTGCCCTTGAACCCAGCCCATCTCCGTAACTGAACCAAAACTACTGAGGTTCAGTTAACAACCTTCCACCCAATCCCTCCCTTTCCCTCTCTAGGGGGATGGAAGAGGCTGCAATATGGCCACCAGGCTTCCCAGGACATACTCAACAGGGTCCTGCCAACTTCCCAGCAAACCCCTCTGAGAGTCCCCATCCTTACCTAACTGGATCCCAATGTGCAGCTCTGAGGAGCTCTGGGGTAAAGAGTGGAGGAGTCGACACAATGGTCCTTTAAAGAAAGGCACCTTTTCCATCACATCTATGTGGCAGGCAGCCCAGATGGACTGGTCCAAGAAAGCCATCATACTAGAAGAGAAAATAATCTCCAACTTGCAATAAGGCTCCTCTGGCCGCTTCTGTTTCCCTGTGTGGCTGGCAGTTATCACGAGAATGGCTACCAAGCCTTTGGAGACCTGGGCTACGAAGAGTTAAAGCTCCTTCCCACACTTCCTCATCTCCGGTTCTTTCCAACATGACATCACCCACTCAGTTGGGATATTAAATGAGAGTGAAAGAAAGACGCTGGGCACAGGTGCACAGGAGCTCCGGTTACTCCCACAACCACATCAATCTCATCGGAGAGTGTGAATCACCAGGTGGGGTGGGGTGTGCACGTGAGGACTTGAATGGAGGCAGCTGGAGAGGTTCAAAAGACACAGGTTGGGCAGAAAGGCTACCTGTTGCTCACTCCCAGAAAGACTCTTCCTTCGCACGCTGCACCGGAGCCCAAGGGAAGAAAAACAGCAGAGCTGTATTTTCACTGGGAGGGTGTATGAGTGGGGAAGTCCAATCTTGCAATGAATGCGGGGCTGCCACAGGGCCAGGCTTGGGCCCACAGTACTGCATCCCCTTGAAAGGTTTAGGAAGTCTTCATAGCACAAAAGCGGGCATTTTGCACCTGGGGCAAGGTATGCGCCATTCCCCCCGCAGAGCAGGCTGGGAGGCAGCGCCTGCCTCGGCTCATCTGCACTGTTGACCCACACAGCTCAAAACTCTCCTTGGGAGCCAGGAGAGTGAGAGGATAGCTACAGCAGGCTCCCCTTCCTCTTGCCCCTTCCAGCACTTGCCAGCCTGCAGACCCTTTGCTAGGCAAAGCACATACAAGTGGCACGGGGGAGCTGTGGAGGATGCAAGGGGGAGATTCGTTGAAAGAGACAGTCACCCTTGCCTCAAGTTTATATGTCCCAACCCCCCTAAGGGAGGAGACATGCTCCCTACATGGCCCAGAACAAAGCACCCAAGTAGGTGCTTAACTTCAAGCATGCCAGGCGTTCCACTGAAGTCAACTGAACTAGTCTTGGGCTTCACTTGAGTATCACGCTTGTGTGCTTTGCTTGACAGGGACCTATGTGAGCAAAATCTTTACCATTCTCTGCTCTATCCCTTCCTAACCTCTGCTGGTGCTACAGGGCTGCCCTTATTTCCCTTCCCAAACATCACTGCTCACAGCTACTGAGCAATATCAGGGTTTCCAAAGGGAACGGCAGAGACTGGCACGCTCCAACACCTCCAAACTTTCAGGGATACCAACCCCAGCCCCAGCACATGCAGCTACAGCAACTCTTCAGTTTTTGGAAAGCGAAGCAGCTTCTTAAAATCACCCCAAAGGCAGTAACTGTCCCTGGCAGTATTCCAAGCCATACTTGGGTTTTCCCTGCCCTACATAATGCTGCTCCACGTTTTAGTGTTAATTCAGAACGAGAAAAAATACCTCGGGGTGGGGCAGTTCTAGTCTTTTATTTGTTAGGCTGACACCTCCCTGGGGCTGGCAGTGGGATGCTCCTGGCACGCATGGAACTAAGCGTGGGGAGGGGGCCAGGAGGGGGGAGAATCTGTATTTAGGGTGGAGTGGGTGGAAAGAGATCTCAAGTTTCTAGATGCTCCCTCGAGCAGGAGCACTGGCTTAGGCGGTTGAATAAGCACTGGTCCCCTTACATTGCACAGAACCTTATCCTTGGCCCAGACTCTCGCATTCCTGAGGGCTTTAGAAAACATTCTCCACTCGATCCAATGTTTTCCTGGCTTCTAGAGTTACCTACATCGTGCGAGGGTGGAGTCCAAACAAACAGAGGGATGTGTGTGGACGTGGGGCACGATGCTAGGAGATGTGCTGACACCTGCTACTCCCACTGAAGAGGAGGGGAGACATTTCCAAGAGCTGTGCGTGTCACAGGATCAAGACGCTGGTGGGACTGTGGTGCTCTCAATCAATCCTCAAGCGTCTATATCCCAGCCAGTCTCTCGGAGGTAAGAAAAGCTCTTAGTGCCTTCCAGCAGAGGCTCTCCAAGCACTGTACAGACAGTAAGGAACATAGCACCTCCAGGACCTAAGAAATTGTTATTACTCCCATGGAGGAGATGGGGAAACAGGCACAGAGCATCTGGATGGCTTTGTCAAGGTCACATGGCAAGTCTGGGAACCGAACTCTGGTCTCCTACCTCCCAGCTCTGTGCTTCCATTACTAGGCCCTGCTGCTTCCCTCCCTTTGTAAAACTAGCT